AGTGGGGAAACTGTTTCGCAAGATGATAGACAATAGAATGGGAGACATGTTGGAGGGGAAACAAAAGATCAGCGAAGGACAAGCTGGATTTAGACCAGATCGTAGTTGTGTAGACCATGTATATATGTTGAGTAAAATCATCCAAGGTAGGAAAGACGCCGGGCGTACGACATACTGTTTCTTCCTCGATGTACAAAAAGCCTACGACACCGTATGGCGCAATGGATTGTGGAAAAATATGTGGGACATCGGCATCCGGGGGGAAATGTGGAGGATGTTGAAAAAGATGACAGAATGCACAAGAATTGCGGTGATGTTGGATGGGGAAATTTCGAAGTACGTGGATATACTCCAAGGAGTCGCACAGGGCTGTACGATGTCACCCACTCTTTTTAAGATTTACATCAACGACTTGATAAGGGCGGTTGAAGCAGTAAGACAGGGAGTCCAAGTAGAGGGAAAGAGTGTGTCCGGACTGATGTTTGCAGATGATTTCGTGGGGGTATCCGAAACACCAGAAGGGTTGCAAGAACAATTAGATGCGGCGGTAGGATACACCCGAAAATGGAGACTGTCGGCGAACTTAGGAAAATGCGCAGTAGTGGTCTGTAACGAAGACAAGAAAAATCCCGTAGAATTCAAATGGAAATGGGGGGAGGAAGAACTACCGGTAGTAGACAAGCATACGTACCTGGGAGTAGAGATTTCGAAGGAGTGCTCATGGGACGCACACATAGCGAAGTTGATTGGGAAGGGTAAAGCTCAGATAGGCAAGATGGACGAGATCCTTACGGACCCACACCTAGACACTAGGATTAAGAGGTGTAATCTCTTGAATGTGATTGTACCTAAGCTAGAGTATGCAGGAGAGGTATGGGAAGGTAACGAAAAGGTCGTCAAGCAGCTGGAAACGGTGCAGATGGCAGCGGCCAAGAAAATATTAGGATGCTCAAGTACAACGAGCAACACTGTACTGAGAGCAGAATTGGGAATGTACTCTCTTAAAACAAAGAGAAACATGCAGAAGTTGAATTGGCAGTACAAGGTAAGTAGAATGTCGGACGATAGACTACCAGCCATGGTTGACAAGGCAGCTTGGGGAAAAGCGACTCCAGGGAAGAAGAGAATCAGATGGGACAAGGTGGTAGAGAAGGTTTGGAAGGAGATAGGAGACGAGGAGGAGACGTTGGACACGGAAGGGTTCGGGGGGTTCAAGACGAAAGTCAAGGAGATGCTAGAGAGTAGGGAGGAGGCAACCCTTCGGAAGAAGGTACGAAGCGAAGACCACTTGGAGATATACGGGAAGTTGAAAGAAGGGATAGGGATGAAGACATACTTGGACGGCCCCATGGACTATGCGAAAAAGCTGAAATTGCAATTTCGAGTAGGCGATCTGGACTTGCCAGAACGGAGGAAGAGATATACCAGCCGTAGGAGAGAGGAAGAAGAGGATAGACACACATGTCCATGTGGCAAATCGGAGGAGAGTAGACCCCACATAGTTGGGGAGTGTGAGTTGTACAGGAAGGAAAGAGAGGAAAAGGAGGAGGAAATGAGACAGAGAGGGTGTGACATGGACAAGTTTGGTAAATTAGACAACAGCGAAAAAACGATCGCGATAATTGGGGATAGATGGTGGGCACAAGAGGCCCTAGAGGACGGGGATAAGATGTGCAAGAAATTTTTATGGAGTTTGTGGCAGAAACGTAAAGAGCTCCCAAATGTTGGTGGTGTCTCTAGTAGGTGTAGGAACGGTGCTCCGTCTCGAAAGGGACGCGTGGTCAACGGTCAAATGACTACGGCAAGCAACAAATGAGTACGCCCCCCCCCCCCCCCCCC